GCCAGGAGCCCCTAGTAGCGTCCTTGCTCCTAGTAGCGATGCCAGGACCCCCCTAGTAGCGTCCTTGCTCCTAGTAGCGATGCCAGGAGCCCCTCAGTAGCGTCCTTGTTCCTAGTAGCGATGCCAGGAGCCCCCAGTAGCGTCCTTGCTCCTAGTAGCGATGCCAGGACCCCCCTAGCGTCCTTGCTCCTAGTAGCGATGCCAGGAGCCCCTCAGTAGCGTCCTTGCTCCTAGTAGCGATGCCAGGAGCTACGTTTCCTCAGGGAGGCACTTGTGCTCCGTAGCCTTCGTACTTGGCCGCGATGCCCCGTTGCGCGCCTAGTAGCTCTGCGCCAGAACGGCCCGGGGCTTCCTCTGCCTGGCCTCCAGGTGCCATCGTCATGAGCCGCGGCTGCATGCTGGAGCTGTGTGGCGCCCTCTGTGATCCCGAGCTCCGCGCAGCGGAGCAGCGTCTCCACTCGAGGGCGCTCACCAGCTCCGTCGCTGGGCGTCCAATAAAAGAAGACGAAGAAGACCGAGGTGAGGAGGGTAGGGTGTTTTTTCTTCCCTGAATGGTGTTTCCCCTTCCTGGGGGGTTTCCCCTTCCTGAAATGGTGTTGTTCCTTCCCGTATAGGTGTTTTCCTTTCCAGTATGGGTGTTTTTCCTTCCCTTGTTGATCTTTTTGTGCTGGTATAGCGCCAAGTTCTAATACTCGCTAGGTCTTCAATTGAATCTCCGGCGAAATTTCTTCGCAGCCGGTTGTTTTCAAATCTGGTGTCCGTATTTGGAAAGTCACAGCTCGGCGTATCTTCCCATAGTGTTTTGCTCATCGATGGCTCTTATACCTAGATCCACCTGGTGGATGAAAAAAGTGCCGCTTTCCATTGTGGCCAAAAAATTGTGCCACCAGAGTGGACAATTGCCGTCATCCAAGCAAAGCGCCGCCAGAAAAACAAAACGCCGCACTCCATATATGGTAAAACACCCGAGCGGGAATTTTAGGGGAGCAAAAAACTCCCCGGGAAGGAAAAGCAACCGAGCGGGAAGCCAACACCTCCCGGGAAGGGAAAACACTTCATTCAGGGAACGAAAACCCGCAGCCCATCGTGAGGAGGGTGGAGAGGGAGGAAGTTCGCTCACTTCTCCAGTTTTTTTTGGCGTTTTCTTTCTCTTCGTCCATTTCTTCATATTTCTTAGGAGTTTTCGCTGGGCAGGTTCTTCAATCTTCCCCTTGGATCCTTTTGAAGGTCTCTATTCACTCTTTTGCCATTGGTCGATTTGGGCCGACCTTTTTTCAGCCATGGGTCGAAGTCTCCAGCATTTTGAAAGCGAGTCCTGAAAAATCAATCAGTCTAGAAGTTCCCTATACATATATATATATATACATAAACAGAAGGAAAGAACATTTGCCGACATTGTTCGTTGAGGTTTGGCATGGGTTTTCGTCTGCTTATCTGAGGTTGCAGAGCTGCTTGCCCTGGGTGAAGTTGGTACAGGCGCCGGGATTCTTTTGTTGGCTCGAGGCTGCTCGCATGAGACTAGACACACCTTGCAGAGGCACACTGGGCTTCCAAACACTGCTCAGGTGAACTTGTAAAGCTGCTTCCCGCTGCACATGGCAGGTGTCTCTCGCTCCTTGACGGTGCCCTTGCTCTCCATGCTCTTCGCTGAAACATCTTTACCTGAAGCTTGTCTCAAGCCACGTGAGACAAGCCACGTCTTCAGAACATGATGTGGCAGCTGGGGCTAAGGATGGTGCAGAGGAAAGCGTGGCCTCCGCTGCGGACTTGTGACGTGGCTGGAAAAACTGACGTGGCAGATCCACAGATCATCTGCCGCCCCGGCAAGGTTGACCGCACTAGTGATGCACAGTGAGTACACCATCAAAGATGGGGCTTTCTGTCACAGCACCCTTCCATGCACAGGACTGGAGCTAGTGAACACTGCGAATTGCAAGCTCAGTCAGTTGGCACTAGATTTTCCAGCCTAGTCGTCCCATTCGTCGTGACGAAGGAGCTTTGGATGACGATGGGCCCGGAGGTCAAGCAACACTTGCTGCAACGGTTCCAGACGCTGAAGCTCTTTGTGCAAAGTTCGGAGGCTGCCTCCGAACTGACGCATGTCATGACAGCTCTGAAGTTGATCTTTGGTTCAGCCTTCAGAGTCAGAGTTGAATACATTTGTGAAGACAGATGTGTGAATTCCATGCATTCTAAAGACAGAGTGTAATCTCGGGTTTTTATCTTTTTCATCTTGGTCTTTATGAGTTGCAGATGGGTTTTCTTCGAGTCCCTGAGGCACCACAGGACTTCCCCGCATCATGGCCTTGGCAGCGCTGGACGGCTTCGCAAGAACCTCCACCTCGCAAGGACCGCTTGGCCCTGTTTGGAGCCTGTTTTCTTTTGGGGGTGGCTGTTTGTTGTGTAAATTGGATTCGGGTTAGATGATGAAAATCCAAGAACTCTTTTTTGAATTGTTTTTATTTTCTGACCCGGCGAGCTTTCGCAGGTCATGTTCGGATACCTGCCCTCATTCGGGAGATCTTGATCAGGCTTTTGGAAGCGCTTCGCAAAGAGTTGCAGGCACTTCTGGACAGGCGCGCAACGTGCGCGAATCAAAATCGCAAAGCATTGAGTTCCTCTGTGTGATTCTTGACTCCACAAGTTTGTTTTTGTCATCGCCCTCATCATCATCCTTTTCATATCCTGAAAAAGAATCATCATCGCTTCCACATCGAGAAGGCCCGTTGCTTTCAAAATGTTCTTTGGCACTGGTGGGTGGGTAGGTGAGTGGATGAGGTGAGGCAGAACTTCCTTCCAATTATGTTGTGCTTCGGAGCAGATGTGCTTCGGTTGCTTCGTCAATTAACTTCCTTTGGCTTGTATTTGCTAAGCTTCTAAGCCACTGTTGTTGCTTTGGTTTGTGATTGCTATGGGCTATGAGTATATAAAGTAGTGCTTCGGGGTCGCCAGGGGGGTTTGGGCCAACGTATAATGACATTGGTTATGATTAATTAAGTTTGGCTTCAATGAACTGTATTGATGGCTAACAATCACAATCTTTTGCCTCCTTGCTTGCTTGGGAGAACCACTTCTAGCAGGGTTTTTGCCAAAGAAGAGTATCCCACACGAGAATGCCAAATCCATTGGAAGGAACGGTGCACTCAGTAAAGATGAACTCATGTTCCTTGTGGCGTCGATCAAACCACCATGAACACCTGTATCCACCTGTAACTCGAAAACAGGCACCTCACCATTTTCTTGCGCCTGTGAGGCCAGGTGGCGCCAACAAACCCTTGACGCCCATGCCCCTGAGTCCACAGCACCGGCTGCAGCTTCGTGGATGGCAGGCGCTTGATCTGAATTGCGAATGCACACAGGGTTGCTTTGCTTTCGGTTTTGGTGTGCAACTTTCAGGCCGTGCTGATTCTGGGTTGCCATGCGCAGAAAGACAAAGAGACAGCCGAAATGCTTTTGTCAGAGCTTTTCTGGCACCTCAGGCTTGGATTTTTCCAACTTCCCTTTTCCTTTCCCAACTTCACCTCTTTCTAGTTCGTCCTGTTCCGGAAATGGCACCCGTTGGGCCGAACGACATTCCTGCGCAAAGAACATTTGGATCAGGACGCCACACCTGCCCGATGTACGCGGGGATCTTGGGATTTCGCAACGCTTTTTCCGCGTGATTTTGGGTTTTGCCTTTCAAACGGTTTGGCGCAGAAGAACGGTGCCTTTCATTTGCCAGCCTGTTGTGAAGTGCGCGGAGGTGATTACCAGGAACTACTGGGTTGCCTCCTTTGCCGGAGCTTTCAAGATCTGGCGATGCAACATTTGATACCTGCCCTGGGGTGCTATCACTGTACTTTGGACCAAGACCCGCCAAGACTCTTTTGACACATACTTTTTGGCCTAGAGTGGCGCTTCCATTGTCCATTCACTTTGATGACGGCAACTGCAAGCACAGCTTGCAAAGAGCCGAGGCAATAATCAAGTCAGTGCGTCTCTCTTGGTTGAGAACTTATGAAGTGAAGTGCAAAGTAGAAGAAGACATCTAGTTTCCAAGCTCCAAAGTTTGCGGCACCTTCCTTTGCCAAGGTTATTAGCAGCTTTCTCTTTCGCGATTGGGTTTCATCCCCGCCACCGTTCCCTCATCTGCCGCTGCTCGTGGCCGTGGTGCCTTACCTGGGCCACAATTCAGCCTATGTCCGAGGACCTGATGCCACAAAGGGACGAGGAAGCATGGCACACGGCTTTCCCGTGTGACTGGGCCGACAGGAACAGCTTCATGGGGATTCTATGAGCTCATTGAGGCGGCGAAAAACAATGGATCTTTTCCTGATGGAGATGCATCTCAGAGGCACACACACAGGTTTTTCTCACTGGTCACAAAGGCTGAAAAGCAGCGCTTCTGTTGAAATGTTGACATCTTGAAGGCTACTCTTGGAGTTGCACAGCTTCCTGGCCACCAACCGCGAGTGTCAAAAGATGCGGAGAAGACTGCGCCCGATCTTCCTCTCCTACGACACTTCCAAGTATCTTGGAGTTTGAGGGAAGCATCAATGATCTTGTCAATCAGAGTGATCTCTGAACAGAAACACTCGTGAATCTGCCTCGGTTCATTCATGTAAGGTCTGCTTTAGCAGCCCTCACGAAGCTTTCAGAAGTCTTGCCATCAGATGGGAAAGAGATCCTGCAGCCATTGCACATCTTTGCGAATGGAGATTTCAAGACCGATCCCTAGTCCGAACCGATCCCTGAGATGTTCTGGACTAGAGGAGGCGACGAATCGACGAATCGACGACTGAGGCCTTCTCAAACCTTCCTGGAGCTGTTGAAAGACGAAGTGGCACAGGAGCAAAAATATGACTCTCAACCAGCCTAATCTAGCTTCAATGATCGTTTGCAGTTTTGGTGCTGAATCTATTGACAAAGTCCTTTGTCCATTGGTCTGCTGACTTGGAGGAGATGGAGAGGATTTTTGAGGGAGAGGATCCTAGTCAATATTCTTCCTCATCAGAGCACTGGCAGGATTGGGCTCAGTGTTTCTTTGAAGCTTAAGAGATGCTGTTGCAGTCTCTCCACAATTTACTTTTGATACAGAGGAGGCGCAGCTAGCAGCGTTGCGAGCTGTGCGCCAGCTTCAAGGCTTACTTTTCATTCTTATTTTTGCAATTATTGGTCTCCGCTTTGTTGATTCTATCCGACTTGCAGGGCTCGACAGCATTGAACGAGTATGTTTGTAGTGATTTGTGAACTCTGAACGAGACGAATCAAGACATGTGCAAACTCTGAACGAGACACCTCGCCAGGTCCCGTGGAAGAAGAGCAGGAAGCCACTGGTCTGGTGCATGCCGCAGGGGGAGCCTCTGGGTTGCGGCTTGGCTAACACGATTGTGGAAGAACCGTCACATCAACAGAGACTTGAGTCTTAACTATGTCAAAATGGTACAGTAACAAATGTTCTTCAGAGGGTGTGCCTGAGATGCTGTCCTATTTTTGTGCCAAGGCAAAGGAAATTTGTACCTCCAGCACCACCGCGGCTGCCAGATGATGCAGGTGCGTTCGTGGCAAAGTAATCTTGCGACACATCCAGCAAGATCAGTGGGCGGAAGAAGCCAGTCTTGGAGGCGGTGCTTCCACATCCAAGCGAGCTCCATTGGTGGTTCTTGCCTCTCTAGCCACTCGCACACCTCAAGAGCATGTACTGCAATGAGACATCACAAACAACTATGCTTTTCAAAGCAAATCAGAGCTTGTGCAAGTAAGAGTGGCTAGGGCGGCTACGGGTCTAGGGGTTTGTTTCTCGGACCAAGGTTGATAAGCTGCCGAACTTGGCCGGGCTCAGCCGCACCTGCGAAGTCTTCCATTGTGAAGCATTGTGTTTGCCAAATCTCAAGGTCAGGGTGCTGGTGTCTTTTTCACAGAGATTGTGAGGAAGAGGACGACAGGAAAACGACATCACTTGACGCAGCGCGCATGAAATCAATAAATAGATCTACCATGATCTACCCCGCGGGTCAGACGATCCCATGGGCCCGGGTCAAACCAGTTCGCTGGTGAGGGGTCACGTCACTGGGAGCCAAAAACCGCAGGGTTCACGTTCGTTTTTGGGAGTGTAGATAGATAGATCAGATGTTTCAGGCATTTGTGCCTCCAGCTTGTGCACCCAGGTGGTCTCGGAACAGGCCTTCCAGTCCATTTCCGTGACCGCGGAGAAGTGGCTTCCGCTGCGAGGAGCCACGAGCCTCAAAAGACCTTTATTTTTTTCCACCTTAGACATAGACATAGTCATAGTCGTGAAATTTCACGCATGAGACGTCATTTAAGACCCAGAGGGTGTGGTTTGAATTGTTGGGATTGAAAGAAGAAAGCCTGTAGTTCATTCACAACAAACAATCTTGCATTTGTGCTCCAAGATGCAACAACAAAGGCAACTATTATAGTGCCTTTTTGGAGGGTTTAAAGTCTCACCCTTCAGCAGCTAAGATAGTTGTGAACCTGAAAAAGGCGGCATAGGTATCAAAAAAAAATAAAGAGCATCAAAAAAAACACAGGATCAAAAAAAAGATAAAAACAGGATCAAAAAATAAATATTCCTTGATAGGCCTCTTCTGCTGCTCTCCTGGCCTTGTGGTCTGCGGGTCCTCTGGTAATGTGGTCCCTTGGTCCTTTGGTCCTCTGGTCCACTGGTCCTTTGGTCCCCTGGTCCCTTGGTCCTTCAGTCCACTGGTCCCCTAGTCCTCCGGTCTCCTGGTCCTCTGGTCCTGTGCTGCTGCTGCTACTGCTACTGCTACGCTGGTGCTGCTGCTGCTGCTGCTGCTACTGCTACTCCTACTACTACTACTACTACTACTACTACTACTACTACTACTACCCAACCATCCTCAGTGGGCTAGAATATTTTTTTTTGATTCCCTTTTTATTTTTTTATTGATCCCCGTTGAATATTTTTTTTTGATTCTTTTTTTTTTTATCCCTTACCCGAAAAAGGCAATCAATTTCGGTGAAAACCATAAGGAGGGCTGAAACACATGCAAAAAATGACAGACACATTGAATCATGTGGACCTTTTTTCAACTCCAGATTGTTGGGTGTCAGTGGGGGTGTGTTCAGTCATCTTGAGTGGTGTTTGTCCAGCCGCTAAGGTGCCGAAGTCTCAGTTGAAGGAGCACCTCTTGGAGCTTCGAAGAAGTGGATACATCTTGCTGGGCGTGGAGCAGACGCACACCAGTGTGCCATTGGATCAGTCTGGGCCGACAGAAAATCCAGGAAAATCAGAAAGAAGAGTTGATGAAACCTGTGGAAGAGAGTTTTGTTTGTTTATGTATTCTTTTTCCATGTTGCAAAGTAGTGTGGAGCACACAGGAAGTGGATTTGGGTTTGCTCAGGTGGCAATTTTCCGAGCACACAGCGATATTGCTAGGCAAGATTTGCATTGCAGCTGGAGTTTCGGAGCACTTTCGCAAACGATGCAGCAGGTGCCGAGAAGGAGGGTATCGATGCCGATTTGCTGCCTCTACTCGACGGATGCGTGGAGATTCCTCAACAAGGGCAACTACGATCCCTCAACGTCCCGGCCTCAGGTGAAACCCCTCTGGCGTGGCGAACGAGCTACTGCGCCATGCTGTCCCCTCTGCTCTGGCTCCGCAGCACATGCTCTGAGGTCCATGTAAGTGGATCCATTGTGATTTGGGAGTATGTTCGCCAGGTGTGGTTCCGTTCCGAGCGGCGATTTTCGGCGAACAAAAGAGACGTCTGTGTCCTGCGCGGCTGGTCTTTTTCAAGTGGCACCGTTTGTGGGGGCGAACGTCGAACGTCGATGGCAGCGATGTCGGCGAACGTGCATGTCTCTGTCTTGGGATTTGGCACAGGCGCGAATGCGCGCTGTAACAGCGAAGGCTTCTGAACCGTCTTGATTGCGAAGAGGAAAAGATGCCTTAACTGCGGACCGTTGCACATGATTCTGCTGGAAGACCTAAGGCCAAAGTGTTTAGGCGGTTTGACTCGGATGTTGAAGGATGTTGATCCTGAAGCATAGTTTTTGATTATATATAAACTGGTGACTTTTCAGACAACAATGCTGGCTTTTCTCTATTTTCTCTGTGCTGAACGCGGGGGCCTCCCACACTTGTGGCACCTAGCTCCGCTCCGCGCTCCGCGCGTACACCAGGTCAACGGAGCTCACCAGCGTCACACGACAGCGCTGCAGATCAGAGGACGGTCTTCACCGAACGTCTTCGGTGTGTGTTCGACGAACCAAGAAAAACAAGACGTGCGCTTCATCAAGACGTGGTGTCAGATCAACCATGAAGAGCACCAGTATATTCCTGTATCGAGCACCAGATCACCAGTGTATCAACATGTGGGTAATAAATGGCAACAGCAGTGTCCACTTGGAAGTTTTTCTGTGCAACTTCTTGGTCATCAGAACGAACTCGGCCGACCTGGCAGCCTTGGAGTATTGCTTCAGCTGTAGCAGCTTGCCGAGGATCTTCCACATCACTGGCCCAGTTAAGGAGTCGAACTCAGGCGGCGCCCTTTCGGCCGTGCCTTGCGCGACCGGTCGTGAAAAAGCACCCCGGTGCGGCCCCCTCGGTCCGCCGGGCCCGCAGGTGAGTGAAGGACTCCTTGCGCTGCTCTCTCGGCGTGCGGCCGAGATCCAGAACCACGGCCTAGCCTTGATGGTGTGATCCTGAGTCGCACGGAGACATGTCGGTTCTCCGGAAATGGTTCGGACATGCAGAGACGGCAAGCAGGTTCAGCGAGCAGCAGAAGGAGGTCCTGGAGATGCGATTGAAAAAATCATGCGCCTGATTCAGGACATGTGCACTTTTGTTTTTGTTTCGTGAACGTGAACGCATGATTCCAAAGCAGGACATGTTGCCGAAGCTCCAGTCAGACCTCAACAGCATGATTGGGAAGAAGGTCGCTGGATGTCGCTGGTGTGTGAGAAAGCAGGCTTCACTTCAAAGTGAGTTTCGTTCTGAACCAACAGCAAGTGGATTGTGGATGGAATGGTTCAGGCCATGTGTGACAAAGAGCTCTCTATCAACAAGCGTATTCCTTAGCATTCCGATTGTTTATCTTGGTAAGTTCAAGGCTAGAACAAACAACAGTCAGCACCGTTGTGAAGAAGAATGCAACGAAGCTCTTGATTTGAGATCACTCAGTCACACGCGCCACACGAAGTCAGCTCTTGTGGAAGAGCTGAGCACTACAGTGAGTCTGACATGTGTCTTGATCAGCCAAGTCTGTTCTGCGCCTTTGACTGGTCGTTTGAGTCTAACATGTGCCCAGCACGCACCGTGAGTGCCCTGACCGTGATGCTTGGCAGCTCGTGCGAGCTGCTCGCACATGGCAGGTGGAGCGGAATGAAGCTGAAATTCACGCGATCCGATACGAGATGAAGGTTCGGTGCGGATGCGATGTTCCTCTCATCGCTGTGAACGGAACGGTTTTTGTTTTGGGGGTCGAATCGTGGAACTTTTGAGCCGCATCGCAAGGCTCTGGAAGAATCCCTCGAGACGGTGCAGAAGGAGCTGCAAGAGGCAGCCCAACTCCGCCAGGAAGAGAAGGCAGGTGAAAGAACATGGATGGACAAAGCAGGAAGATGGAGGGACAAAGAGAAACATATCCAAATGGAGACGCAATCATTTTGGGAACCGTGATCCGCCGTGAGCTTCCCGTCTTTTGGAGTGCTAGGTTCAGCATGAAGCAACAGTGAAGGAAGCGCAAAATGCACAGCTTGCTGTCGGGCGAGCCAAAGAGGTGGGTCGATTCGGGCTGCGCCTCAAAGCAATGGCCTCCACCCTAATAGTGATAGCCTCCATCCTAGAAGCAATGGCCTCCAACCTAATATATAGCAATGACTCAATTTAAAGCCTATCGCTTCTCGTCATCGCTTCTCGCTCCTCGCTTCGCTCGCTTCCACATCGGTCGGACCGGATGGACTGGATGCAGGTGCTGGAGAATGTCTACGCGAACGCGAAGGTTCCGATTCAACACCTCAGTGTGGATGCATTGGTTCCGCTTCACAGCATGGCACGTTCGCTTCACCGGTTCTGTCTGGCGGCGCTGTGGGCCAGGTGTCTCTCCTGCAAGATGCGAGCGACATCTCTGCAGAGATGGACGCCAAGCAGGTGTGGTCGTGTTGGGAGCGAAAACGAGACATGTTGACTTTGATGTTTGCATATGCTTTGCACAGAGAAATTCTTTTTCGACATGTTGACTCTTGATGGAATCAAATCCCCCCCAAGATGGAGATGTCTTTCGATCATCTAGGATTTGACGTATGAACTTTAAATATTCTTCACACGACAGGCGTTCAAGCTTGCTTCTTTGATCAAGGCATCTCAATCGCGCAGTTCACATGGAGGAGTTTTGTCTATGTTGGATGCACCTTGGCGGTACCTTAGGTGTCCTTCCAAACCTGCAAGGTTTAGAACAAAACGCACCGTGGGATTTCCCCCAATGACGTAATAAAGCAGACACTTACGAATCATCCTTTGAATCGTCAACACGAACGAACAGGAAGAAAAAAACACCAATGGCCCCAACACGTTGCTCCGCCCCAAAAATTCGGAGGCCGAGACTTCAGCAGAAGACTCGACCGTCGCAACCTCGTCGCTTTCAGTCACGGACTCTTCCGAGGTTCTCATCACGGACTTCACAAAGATGGAGGCCGACGCTCATGAGGCCGAGGCGCCGGAACTTTGGGAGCGGAGCCCGTGGAAGCATGAGTCAATGAGTCACTCATTGAAGGAATAGGCTAGGTGCTTTTTTGGTGTTTTCATGCTCTTTTTCATTTGATGTACTCTTTGTGCTCGTGCTTTTTGCCCCATGGCACCTTGTGAGAGCTTATATCTCCAGCTCGTTGAAGGGTCTCCAACGCGTGTCCGACTGAAGGAGACAGCTGCGGAGAAGTACCAGGAGTTCCGGACTGAATGCAAGAAGGAGCAGATTTGGTGGCTGCAGCTGTAGTGATAGTGGTTTCATGCAGCTTCCGAACTTGGAGGGAATTGTCCTTCGACATCAGGATGTCACTGTGAAGAAGCTGGACATTGAGCACAAGGAAAAACCAGAACGATGGCTGCTAAGGTCACCTAATCTCGTTTGCTGCTGCCATGTCTGCTGCTTTGCCGCCTGGGCTGCAGGACTCTCGCAAGGATCAGCTGAGCGGAGAGATCGTTCGAGCACGGAAGGAGGGGGGATGAAGAACGCTGGATCCGTCGGCTTGAGTCCATCTGAATGCCTCTAAGAGGGCCGAAGCAAGTCCTCTTTCCTTTGCAGAAGCTTTTTGCAGGACTTGGAAGTCACGAAACGAGAGCTCCAGGCCCATTCGTGGCGATCGGGTCGGTCTGCACGTCACGATTCGTGACGTGCAATCCGAGGCTGCAAGGGACTTTTACGAGGAGCTGAAGCCGATCTGCGTGAACACAGCTCCAAGCTATGAGGAAGATCGGTTTGCTGTGCAAGATGGGTAGATGGGGCGGCATGAAATGGAATCCAAGCAGGAGAGACAAGCACTCCGAGAGAAAGAGATCTCGATCTTGGCTCAGTTGTCAGTTGGCGCATGTTGGCTCCAACTTACTGGTTTGCTTCCACGTGTTTTTTGATGCTTTTTGTTGATAGACGGAACTAAGGGCGCTGAGAGAAGCCTTGCGCCTCCTTGAGTGAGTTGCGAACAAAGCCAGGGCGTCTGCTGTTGCGAAGGTCCACGACCACAATCAGTTCGGAATGATGCTGGATTCTTCCAGAGAGATGCCACCTTTTTGGTTCCACGTTATCAGCTGGTTCACGGGGAAGACCGCTGCATGATCCTCGAAGGCTCACTTTCATGTCAAAGTGCACGCGTGCTCTCGCACAGTCTAACGCCATTGCACTACGTCAAGAGAAGAATCGGACGAATTCTTGAAACCTGCTGCACGTCCTGCCCCAGACCTTCTCTACTCTAACACGCCATGGATGACGACTTTTCTGGCAGCTTGATTGAGGAGCCTCTTGGACCTTTCAATCAAATCCAAAACGAATAAAACACAATCTTCGCAGGAAATGGAGATTTGGCTCTCCAGCGAGGACTTTGAGCGTTGCGCACCCTGGATTTTCTGACTTTTGTCAACGAGTGTCTCACGGGTGCGACTTGCTTGCTTGCGAAACCCAGGTGCTTGGCATGAATGCTATGCGCTCGCCTCGTTTTTTCTTTGGATCGATTCTGCCAACTCAAAAGCGTGACCGCCACACGTGCGCCCGAGGACCGCATCTGCAGGGGGTCCACTGGACGTTCGGACAGAAACATTTCGGAGGACTGGACGTTCCACAAGTTGTGAGAGAGATTTTAGGTCCGTACTCGTAGGATATTTTTTAAAATTTCACTTCTTGTGAGAGTTTTTGCACCCATGCCAGGCAGTGTTACTGCAAACAGCGGCAAGCCTGCACAATCATTTGCCACATGGGCCGCTATGAGCCCAGAAAAGAACCGCAAAACACTTGCTCGATTGCTTGATGCGTGCCTTCAGATGGGAATGAATCAGGCTGGAGCGGATGATTCCGGCGCCGGATGCAGAGCTCAGGACTTAGTCCTTGGCTGACCAGCAAAAGTTCGAGGTTAGAAGCATAAGAGAACACCAGGAGTTCTCAAGGGGTGCCTATTGAGAAGAGTGCCCATTATTGCCCATTATCCACTCAAAACTTTTGGCAGTTTTGCTTTTTTTTCCTTGTGCAAACAGGATTCGCCTCAGATTCGACACACTCGCCAACTCTCCAGAAACAGTTTGTCCAGACCCCCCCAGCCAGCACACACTCGGAAAATGCCTACTGAACTGATCGTCCCAAGCCCTGGAGTAGCCTAAGTGAAAAAGTTGCCTCGGGAAAGCAGGTAGTATGTAATGATGTAATGCGAAAAAAACATCAGAGTGCCAGATCCACATGCAATCGACGATCCTCTACAACCCAGGTGGTTTTCAGATTTCAGGCCAATCGTTCAAGGCGTACAGGGATTGGGACAGATACTCTTCTTTTAGCGCTGAATCGATCACAACGTCCAAGAAAGTGCGTGACTGCCGATAGTGAACCGCTGCAAAAGCCAGAATCTTGTTCTGAGTGCAACCGGGGGCCCAGGCAAAACATCGCAGGTACACAGAGCTGATCAGGCCCTGCTTCGAGCACAAGTGGACAGCTTCGTTGGGTGCAGTCTCCACTGTGCCCTGCGTTTCCTGCAACTCCGTAAAAGAACAACGAACACCAAACGGCGACCTGTGAGTTCAAGGTGTTCAGCCAGACAGACAGAGACCGACCGACCGACCGACCGATGGACAGACTGACTGACTGACTGACTGACTGACTGACTGATTGAGGGAGACTGTCAGAGACTGACAGAGACTGAGGCAGACTGACACAGACTGACACAAACTGACACAGATTGACCCAGACTATATAACACAGGTTGACACAGACTGACACAGACAGACACAGACAGACAGAGACAGACAGAGACAGAGCTTGGCCTTCCAGGTGGGTTAGGTCCCCCACTTAATTTTTCCAGTCCTGGTTGGTCGTGGTGAACTGCATGACCGGCCATTGGTGTTGAGGTTTGTGAGAGGAGCTTTGGAGGCGGTTGGTGTCGACGAGCCTCGCAGAGCGGGGCTAGAGGAGCGAGCCCCTTGGCGGGCTGATGTCGAAGGATGTCACCGTGTTTTGAGTTGAAGAAACCTGTTCCTTGCATACCACCCATGTGATGGATTTTGCGATGGTAAATGATTGAAGCTCTTGGAATGGAAAACAGTTCTGTAAACTGAAGCAGCTGCGACTCAAGCATGACTGAGCTGCTACTCGCGGATGCTCGCAGGACCTCGAGCACTTTGAAGCCGCACTGGTGGTGGTTTTACCCTCGAACAAGCAACAGAGTACCCAGCCTGGTTTTGGATGCATTGAGAGCTGAGGTCTACACACATTTGGCTCACTGTGCTTCCTTGTTAGAAAATGAGATGCCAGGACCAGCACCGCTGGCTCACTGTGTTTCCTCCAGTCACCGCACTTCGTGCCTCGATGTGGTCCCAGGAATGGCTCATGCGATCCTCACGGGGAAGATCGATCCGAGAGGTGCGTAACGTGCTGTCCATAAGTGCAGCGGAAGAAAAATGCCAGCGAGGGCGAGCCGGTGAGCAATCGAACATACCTTTTCCAGTTCCAAAGAAAATGGTGCCGAACTTATCACATGCTGGGAACATCACCCCTTTGGAACTGCTGGGGCTTCCCCCGTGTTGTCGATCCGATGCCCTGTTTGGGTCACACGACTTGGTCTGCACCCGTTGGGCGGTCTGCTTCTTCGCAGCTGGCTCAGCAAGGCTCTGTTTCACAGCTAGGGACACAGCTAGGGCTTCAGAAGGCTGAAAAAGATTCACCGACCCCACCATTCTTGCCAACGAACAACTTGACACGTCGTCACGTCTCCCCCTTGCTGAGCGTCCGATTCCGTGTGCACGAAGGAGAGGTGTTGAAAGCTGCTGTCTGTGCCGTTGCGATGCCGACGTGGTTTGTTTTTTGGGGCACAGGACTAACAATGAGAGGTTGGAAGGTGCGCTTTGATTCGAGTCACAGCTGAAAAATTGGGATTTGGGCTGATTTGATGCTGGAAGGAAGGCTTCACAGCCTTCATTGGTGCGAGGTGGCGGCCACCTTGGTAGCCATCAACCTTCCTGAGACGTGTGCAGAGTTGAAGGTTGGGGGCATTCTTTGCCGTTGCCGCGCCAACCGCGGTTTTGGTTTGAGGCAAATCCAGTTGGGGAGGTTTGAGGCATTTGGGTGAAGACGCGGTAGGACGGACGGTTTGTTCATGCTTGTTGACCAGCAGGCCTTGAAAAAGGAGCAAAAGGACGATGCCACGTGGTGTGCTTGGGGGTGTTCTTGTGTTTTCTTCTTGGAGGTTAGACCACTTGCCTTGTGAGGTCCGGCCCTGAAGATGATTCCAAAAAGGCACACTTCTGACACTTGATGCTTTCCTAATCGTGAAGACTTTCACGAAGACTTCTTTTTCGCGGAATTAGGGGATCGATCGAATTGCAGGTGCACGACCTGCAAGATGAACTGAAAGATGAAAAACGTAGCCGACTCGTCCAAGAGGTGGGATATCTTCATGAGTGCCTCTCGCGAAGCTGCCGAGAACGGAAGCTGATGTTGCCAGGCTGCCGCGACGGAAGCCATCAGAAATGTGCCTGATTCCCGGAACTCGTGAACCCTGGTGGTTTTGATTTGGGTTCCATGTGTGTAAAGGACGGAACAGATGCGGCTGAGAAGGGAAAGTGAGGAGAAGCTGGCAGAGACCAGGCTGAGGGGCTTTTGGCCGCTTATCTTCCCATTGTTCTTGGTGGCCGCTAGGCTATTTCAACCACTCTGTAAGAATGTGTCTTCGCTGATTGGAGACGTCTTGCGCCAGCTTCGCACCACCATTTGTGTGTGGGGGGTCTTAAGGGTTCGCCAAGAACTGGTGGCCAGAACTCCGTGATGAATGAAGGGTTGCTCCGAGTTGCTCCTCAGTTTTTGGCAGAACCACTCCCTGAACTCATCCTGGTCTTCGGATGGCCATTTTCTGAGTACCGAACAGTGCCATCCACTTCCGATGATTAGATAGCAATTATACAGTGTATTGACGACCCTTTGGCACCCCGATCGGAGCGACCTCAGAGTGAAGCAGACCTAGTCCTTTTGAGAACGTTGGGCTCCATCCACCAGTCACCAGTGGTGCGGTGTTCTGCCATGAAAACCAGCGCTCGGTGGCGCCTGGTAGAACCTGGTAGGACTGTGACAAGAGGCTGCGGACTGAAGCCTCCCTTGAGGTGTCTTAGCTGCTAGCCCGAACAGGTGCTAGTGGGGCACGTGCGTCCCGAGTGGCGAGTGAGTCGCGACGTTCCTGCTTCCCTCGTTGCAATTTGCACCGTTCGGGGTAGACACAGACCAGTCCACGAACATGGCGCCAGCGTTGTCGGATGCTTGCGCTGGCCTCATGTTGGCGCAGGTCGAGGATGGAGAGCTTGCTCCAGGAGCTTGCTGGCGAGAAAGATGAAGTCAAGGCGGGTGGTGAAAAGCCTCCAAGGAAGTCACGTCTGCAGCAGCCTCTTCCAGCCTCTTCCAGCTTTGCATGGCTCATCATGGGTTGTGTAGGACCTCAAAAAGGCCCTTGAAAAACAAGGAAGTGGAACACTTGCAGTCCGGACCTCAGAGAAGATCCGCGGACTCAAGAAGATCCGAAGGAACTCCGCGTTATGAAAGCCCCACTGTTTTTGTTTGAACACATAGAGGTTCCCTTCGTTCAATTTGTGCCCCAAAGGATTGGCTATGGCTTTGTACCTGTTTCGATGAAGTACAAACATATAGAAAAAGAATCAAAAGGACCTTGTGTTTGATTGGACTCTTTTGCATTGCTTCACAGCACTTAGGTTTGGCTGGACTCGAGTCACTGGCAGTGTCCATCTCAGACACCAGCTTCGCTCGTCGCCATTGTCTGGACATAGGGGAGTCCAGGTGGACCATCGCAGTGCTGGCGGCCTTGCTCGGAATCTTCGGCCTGCCTGGGCCCCGAGCCTTCTTGGAGCTTTTTTCTTTTGTTGACCATCAGATTTTACCAAAAGTACAACCAAAAAATCACATCATTTGCCAATGTCAAGGACTGGGAAAGATGCCCTTGTGCTCTCCTTCCATTCGGCCGGCTTGAGCTTCATGTCTTTGTTTTCTTGGAGATCTCGGCTGGTTGCCTTCAAGTGACGTGTTTTTTTTTGTTGGGACAAAGTAGACTTGGCAGTTTGTGGGATCTCTGCTTACTGGGCTGCTTTTAGCTGGGAGCAGGGATGCTTAGCTGGCTTGGCTTAGCAAAAAGCTGTGTGGGTGATTTGGAACCTTGGACAACTTCTTGCTGAGGTGTGGGATTCGTAGTCTCAAACCTATTTGGTGAAGGTGGGACACTCAGGAAGGCTTACTGGAACTTTCGTTGGAAGGCCACATCGGATTGTCGCCATCGGATTGTCGCATGAGGCACCAGTTGGTTGGATGCAAACGCAGCCATCACCAACGGAACGGGCAGTCAGATGACCCAAACACCGACAAATCAACTAGATTCAGCTTTACTTTTGTAAAAAAAGGGTTGTATTTTGGATCCACCCAGGTTACACCTGCTACTTTGTTTGGCTTTTGGTGACATGCACCTTGGCGGGGCTTCAATTCTTTTTTGCTTTCGCCCAAAGATATTCAACTTGTTTTGTATCTATTGCCTGGCCGATATTCCAGCAAGGCCTGAGTCTATTCCGCATCAGCCTCGGCCAAAGCCAGATGACTTTGCCTTATCATCTAGCGAGTTGAGGTTGGAGATCCAATATTCCAATCATCCTCTTTGCGCAGGCGCATTGGATGCACAGTTGAGTTTGTTCAACAGATTGCCAAGCGTTCTGTATTCAGGTGGACACCTTGCATCTGAATGCTGGAGGAGACATCACGGAGCAAGATTGTATGTGTCTCAAAAGAGAATCGAGAGATGCGGCCCCTCCTTGTGGTAGTGTTTGACGTTTGTGGCAGAATCTTCTTGATGTCTCCTTGGGCGCAGCCTTGGCGCCTTGGGGCTGAGGCCAACAGCCACTCCTGGGAGCAACAACCATGGAGGAGCCTCAGGCGTGATGTTAGTAGCCACTAGCCATGCGAACGTGAACCAAAAGCGAAAATCATTCGAGCTATTCATGTCATTCTTGAGAAAGTGTAGCTTCCGGGAGCCTGCGAGTCAAAGACTTTTCAGAGAGCCAATGTTCCGAGAGCGACTGTAATCCTTGTTGAGAAGCTCTTCATATCGCATTTTTGGAATATGCTGTTATTTGTTGCTTCACGATTCCTTGTTCATGCTGCAAGGTGCCCTTGCCACCAGTTCCTCCTCCAGATGTACCGCCGAATGTCACAGAACCTGAACCTCCGTCTACAGCGCCACCTCCACTCCCGGAAACGTCAACTTCGCAAACGGGTCTCTAGATCTAAACCAAGTTTTCATTCCTTCAAACTATAATTGCTTAACAAAAAATATTGAATAAATAAGCATTTCAAGGATTTCGATGTTCATGAACAAACACATATGATGTAGATTTTAAATATAGCATCTAATGTTTTGCATATAATTATACGTTCTTTAAACCATACTCCCAAATAACGGGTCCACGCGCAAAGCTGAAATCGCGAAGGTGCGAACATGGTGGTTGACAAACGCGGTCTAATCGCCGAGCAACTCTCCAGAGCAACTCTGGTGCGAACGTGGATTCCTGATAAAACCTAGGACATTGACTTTGGAACATTTGCCACAATATGTAGTGTTCATTGCTCATCATCAGGGAGGCCTCACACATGCAGCCTGGCGCTCCATTCCCCACTTCCTTTGGCATACCAATTTCCGGTACTGCGATGTGAAGCAGGGAAAATGGAAAGCACACACTGAAGAGGAAGGAGATGGTGAGCCGGATCTGACAAGCAGGAGCCAGCGAACACGAGCTGGGGAGGAGGAGCTTGGTGATTCTGCGTCAAAAATCGCACCGAACGGTGTCCGCACACGGCCAAATGCCACTCCCAGGCTTTCCCTTGCGTAATCTGAATTCCAGAGATCCGTATCCTCGATTTCACTTGCTTACTTCCAATTTACTATTTCACGTTTATGGTCCTACCTTACATCCATTACAACGCCGTTTTTTATCGCCAACAAACAAATTCTTTAGAACCCAAATTCTAGCAGAATATTATTGGGATCGATAGATATTACTAAATGTATTATTTATAATTTTGGTATATATATTTTTTATATTTTTTGAATTTTTGTTTATTTATTAAAATTAATTATATTATATTTAATATTATTGTAATATAAGGATATACAATTAATATATATTAATATAATTTATTTTATAAATTAAATTAAATATATTTTTAATTTAACTATATTATTATATAATATATATATATATTTTGAAGCGCTATTTATAGATTAAGAAAGGGAGCGTCGGGCGTGGCTTTCTTTTTTTCCACTTCCGTGCTATGAATTGCTTTTGAGTGTCCGTAGCATGTTTAGCCCTTTTTTTTCGTTCCTCATCCTTTTGAACCTCATAAATTTGCAAAATCTGGTCCTAAGTCTAGGCGGGATGGACCGACATGAGCCTTTTGTGCTAGACCATATTATTCCGGGCGTGAGGGTTGCTTCTCCGCCTTAGGAGAGTGCGTGAGCCCGATCTATATCGATGATACCTCTCTATCTCGGACGAAACATTACGAGGCATGGGCAACAGCTGGCTTAGGCCTCGTTTAGTCTCGGAATCGGTGCAACCGATTAAAA